ACATATGTTGCAACTAATTTTAGCTTATGTTGCAACATTTTGTAAATTTGAAATCAATTGCTGTACCATCTTTAGCACTAACTAAATGATCGCTAGTCGACATGTAATAAAAAAAGAAATAAACTAATGATAAAATTAACGCTTAATAAAATCGTACTAATAAAATGCTAATTGTAAATTTCTGTTATGACAATGAATACACTGTATTGCTTTTCTCCTATATCATCCAATCCATCCCTTTGGTTTTCTTGTTGTCCTTCGCAACATTAAATTCAAGTACTGATATGAGTAATACTTTTACACTTTGTTTCGCTTATAACTTATAAAACATGTTATACAAATGAATAAATTAGATAATAAATTTATAGTTATTGAAAGAAATTAATAAGATAAAAATAGTCTTATTGAATTATAATAAAATCAAAGATAAACTTATTATAAATAAAAAGGAATTTAATTCATAGATATTGCTGTGTCTGGCGTCCACTTATTTTTAGCTTTAAAGTGCTGTAGAATAAGTTTTCGTTTCCGAATTTTTTTAACCGTATTTCATATTAAATATATTGTCATTTATTAATTCTTGCATATTTATTAGCCCGACCCTCGAATCAACTATCATTCTTGAACAGAAAAATACAGATTTGTCCGAATGAGTTTGAATATAATGATCACGTTGAGAATATGCGGACTTATCAATCGAAATAGATTACATAATTTATGATATTTTGAACGACTCCACTTCTAAAAAAAGATGTTCCTTTTATACTTAGAATCATCGTGTTTAATTATATATAAAAATTACGTATGTATAGTATATATATGTAATTAGTCCGGAACGAAGTGAAGGACTATATACTAACAGACACTTTAATGTCCCGTCCAATATTTGAGTTTGGTTTCTTTCGTTACACGGGAAAATGGTATCTTTGACTTCCCGTGAAATAACTATTACTTGTCTAGCAATTCATATCTGGCAACTAGCATCTGTGGCAATTATTTAGAAAAGAGAATTCATCTTGTTGACGTGGAGTTACTGGGAACATTTTCTTTCTACATATATTTATTAAACACTACTGGTGTTTGAGTTGGACTGAACCCGATCAATTTCACCGGGAGCGTTGAATAATAATAAATGTTTATTTAAAACCGATCATTATTACTTTAATTATGCATAAAAACTCAATCTCCCAAATTGCTCTCGAGTTTGTATATTGAAGCAGTGTATGATTTTGTTGATTTTATTTTAAGGTATAAGGAAAAAAAATATTTTTTTTTAAAACGAATATAATTAATTGTCTTTTCCACACAAATGAAAAAAATCATGAAACTCCGTTCGTTCACTTATCGTGGGTAATTATTATGAGTATCAAATTTTTATGGTGAGTAATTAATTGGATTAGACTCCAGATATCTCTTTGGTTTTGACTTTCAAAATCTCATCCACGTCTATCACAAATTTCTCTATAAGCGATTCAAGCTAAAGAAGAAATAGAATAGAATAGAAAACTGTATCAATAATCCATAGCTAATCCCCCAAAAAATGAAATGAAATGAATGATAAATATTTACATTTTTATTTAATTTTTTTGATTCATCACTTGATAATCCATTCTTACAATCATGCTTTAGATCTTTCATACCATCTTGCCTTACAAGCCTAATCTTAATTTTTGCACTCTCAGCCAACTTTGCTGCAAATTTAGTCATCTTCTCACGATATTCTGTTGTTATTCTAAACAACGAAAAGATGAGTCAATCACATGAAATAATGAGTTGTTTTTGATCAAGTTAATTTATGCTTACTTGGGTATCGGCACTTTAATATGCTTTCCTTCAATCATGGGATTTAAATTTAAATTGGCAACTCTAATGGATTTATCAACTGCTTTTATTAACTAAAGAATGAAGAATAACGATAAGATATTTGTTGCGTCTGATCTAGATTAAAGTCATGATATTTTTCATATGACTTCATACTTCTTCTTCATGTACATGCACTATCAAGGTTTGAGGGTCTTTAACAATGACTTGCGCAATATCTTTAAGAGGTGCGCTATTGCCTTTAAAAGGTACTATGACGGAATCAAGGATGGCTAAATTGAAATAATAATACTTTTTTAATTATAAAGTTAAAACAAGTAATTAATCATTTGAACGAGTAAACAAACCTGGGTTCGCACGACCGATCCTTATAGAACCATATTCCTTTTTTAAATTTTCAATAACCGCGTTTACTTTAGTTTCAACTTTATTAAAGTCAAAATCTCTATTTTTTATATTGATGACCTCCTCCACTTCTTCGTCTTCAACTTGAACATAATTCTTGCTTTTTTTACCACTCTTTCCACCTGCTTTTTTCTTTGAGGCTAGCAGAATCCGTTGACTTGTAAAGAAACTGTGAGAAAGTGGTTGTACGGTCACAATAATATTGTTTGTTGAAAGTAGTCCATTCAAATTATAAAATTTTGAAGTTAAAATTCTGAAGTTATTTATTAAAGGATTTCTCGGTCTAACGTCGGAAAGAATTCTCCACGTAATTGATATGAATTTTCTAGACATGTTTGATAAAAAAAAAAAAAAAAAAGTTCTGATAATTATAATCAGATTGGATACGGTGTAACATCATTACGTAACTTTAAGGGATAATGAACATAATAAAAACGTTTAATTAAACTCTCTCTTGAATCTTTTACGGCCATTTGTTGTTTTATTTAGTTTCTGTTTTATAAACATGGGAGGAGGAGATGATAATTCACGAGAAGAAATTCATGATGGTTCTATGACTAATCAAGAAGAAAACACAAACGCGCAACAAAACTTGGAGCCTAGTCCAAATCTTCCCGAGAAGACAGCTATTGCTGAAGAGGATAGCTCAAAGGAAGCGAAACAAATACCCGAAGAAAAACCAAATGAAAATGCTGAAGGAAACAATGTAGAACAAGAACAATCCGTAATAGCTGATAATGCACAAGCTGTAGGTGCATCAGCTACCGAAACCATTTCCGTTGGCAATTCATCAACGGGTCCCGTGGAAGCTCATAAACCAGAGGATACTGCTAATAGAGATGCTGCACATGAAGATCAAGTTAAATTTCAACAGAATTTGGAATATGAAATATCCATTAAAAAAGAAGAGGCCGAAAGAACACCGCTCGTTTGCTTATCAGAGGACATTCAAAAGTTATATCAAGAATATGAACAGGGTAGTGACGTATATCGGAATAAAATTATGGTTTGTACCTTTTTTGCAATATTTATCATCAACAAGCCATCATGTGTTAATGATGGTTTCAAGGAAATTCATTTTTACAATTAATAATGGTAGAAATTGGCAGAGAGACATAATAAGATAAGACGTTGTCGTGGTGATGGTAACTGCTTTTATAGGGGTAACTATTCATAATGACTAACTTTTAGCAATCATTACTAAGAAACCGTGAATTAATACAATAGAGTTGTTATCATGTATCATGTAGCCTTTGGGTTTGCATGGTTCGAACGACTTTTGCTTTCCAATAATTCAACTATTCTTCGAGCTGCTCTTGATTCTTTGGTTGCTACGAAGACGTTGCTTAATTCATCGGGGTATCAACCGTTGGTTTATGATGATATTTATGATGTCGTTGAAGAACAGATGAAAGCCATCGAGCGTGGGGAACGTGACGACTCTATGTTATTGGCAATCTTTCAAACCGATGAAATTTCTAACCATATTGTCTGGTATCTTCGTGTAATCACTGCGGCCTATTTAAAAAAATATCGTCAAGAATATGAACCTTTTCTGGAATTTGAAACTGAAATGGATCAGTATTGTAGTAAGTATGTAGAGGTCATGGATCAGGAAGCTGATCATATTCACGTCATTGCATTGACTAAGGCTCTGAACGTTCCTGTTGAAATCGCGTATATGAGTGGGTCTGACGCGATGGAACAAGTTAATTTTCATGAGTTTTATCCTGATAACGAAGCCACAGGAGGAAATCTCACTTTAAAACCTTTGGTGTTGTTATATCGTCCTGGACATTACGATATTCTTTATCGAAAAGAATGAACTTGAATTGTTACTTGCTTTTTTTAAAAAAAAAAATTGATAGGCAATGTTGCTATAAAATGTATTTATTGTATTAATAATTTCAATTAATCCTTACAACTACTTTTCATAGTCTTATTTATTTCAATATACAAAAGTCTTTTATTATTATATTAAGATTATTGTTGTCGTTTTTCGAAAAACTTTTTTTTTTCCTTTTCCTATGTAATGAAATTCAAAATGTAAGGTTGATAATCATGATTGCAATAATTCATCTAGTAGCAAAATAATTTTTATTACATTTGCTTTGATTCTATTATCATGTGAAAATGTTACATAAATGTCTTTAAAAAATAAGTAGTACATACAATATCAATGTTAAAATATCCCCTCTTCTAAGTCATCATTTTTTTAATGCGTTACTTTACAATTAAATTCTCGGGGAAAGCTTGATCTACTAATATTATGACTTTACGCATAACAAAAGTTATTTGATATATAAAATTTTACCATGATTTTAAGTTAAACCGGCTCTTTTTCAATACAATAATAATTCTTTTTTTTTAGAAACAAACAAAATGTGCAAACAATAAACGAGAATCTTTCATTAAGTTGTCCATCAATCCTACGATCACGGATATTCTTAAAATCGTCCATTTAAATAAATTGACACGTCCAAGAATAATTAATAATCTCTCTCTTAAATTATTAAATTTTGGTATCTTTTTGTTTTTTCTCTTCCAATTCCTTTCCTTATTATTGAATGGTTGGATTTTAGTTCCATCGATGAGACGAAGAAAAGAAATCGAACAATGTTAATATAGGTTGAGACGAAGGTCGTGGTCTACCTCTTCCTCTCTCTCTGTCACGACCTCTCACTCTACCATTTCTATTATTAGAAAATCTAGGCGCTCTGCAGGCTTCTAAATGACTATTAATCCGCATTCTTGTTGGATTGTCAAAATATCGGCCACATATTGGACAATCCCAAGATTGTATCATTCGCCTTTCAACGTGATTGTCTAACGTTGTAAGGTCGACATTATGGAATTCCGCGTTATTATGGGTTGTACTTGTATTCTCAACGCGTATTTGATTGTTATTAAATTGAGTTTGAAGTTGATCTGGTTCTTGATCACAACAATTGCAATGCTTTTTTGGTGTCAATAATTCAGAAGACCTATCATCGTCTTCTGAATTCCATAACTTCCGTTTCATTGGATTAGTCTTAAAGTTTGATTCATTATCGTTTTCACGTGGTTGAGTTTGTCCCTGGTCATGAGCGATACGCTTTCTATTTGGTGTCAATGGTTCATAAATATTTGATAATCTAGTCTCTTCTTCATCCGAATTAAACACTTTCATTGTGTTAGGATTGACCTTTGACTCAATAAAATTCTCATCAGGTTTAATTAAAACATTTTCGGAATTATTCGGAATGGATGGTTTACCTATAAATTCTGTGTTTGTTGTGAAATCTGGATCAATGTCATCCAGAATAGGTGGCAATGGTGTTTGAATCTCGGCTGCTAAGTTTTCACTACTCATATTTGAACTCTGAGGCTTAGGAGATACATTAACATCTTGCAACTTAATGAGTTTAGACACGCATAAAGGAGAAATATTATTCTGTATTACATAATAATGTTGAGATAATGATGTAGATTGCCCTTTTGGCTTTCGAAAGCAATTATCTTGACAACCAATAATATTGCTCTTTAGTTGATGCATGTGTTGGGGAAACTCGGCATTATCACCAAGATGCGGAATATTATGTAGCAGTTTTGATGTATGAGAGACGTTACAACTTTGCGAATTTGTTTCCCAAGAATCTAATGCCGGATAAATATTTTCTTGTTGCAAACTTTGCTCACTATGACTCCACTCACCTTTATTCTTTATGTCACTTGAATCCTGAACAGGACTTGTTATAGAACTAAAAGGCGTACCTGTAGGATTTGATATTGACGGTTCATCAACGATCTGATTAAATAAACTAATATCTTTTCCATTATCATCATCTCCAACCGTAAAATATCTCTTAACACCAAAAACATTAGACGTATCCTTATCACGAATACTCGTGATTCGAATACCCAAGAGGCGGAGAGATATTGGAATTTCTTTATCTAGGATAGCTCTACTATAACTATACAGGTCATGTCGAGAACTGATATATCTGGTGAGAGCTTTCTGCCGCGTGAACTGCTCGAATGATTGTTTCTTGAAGATAACCGATACCGTTTTTCCTTCCATATTCTCCTGATCGAGTCTTCGTGCCAATTCTTCTGCAATATAACGCAAATTTTCATATAACGAACTTACGTTATTAGTAGGTTTGAAGGTCCTAGAAGTACTCATACTCTTTCTAGTATAATTCGTACTTATTCCACTTGACCCAATACCTAAGGAAATTCGCATGTAAAAATTAAAAGAAATTTCTGAGAACATCATATTGACATATACAAGTTTATCCAACAGTTCTCCGCATGTGTGTATATCAAGGACACCGTTTAGAATCTTCGCAGATACTTTCCCTATACCACAAATCTTCCTTACTGGAAGATTGCGAAGAAATTCAAGAATTTTACTTTTATCATTATCAAGCCTGAATTGGCCATTAGGTTTATTTACTTCCGCGCACACCTTTGCTAATAACTTATTAGCGGCGATACCAGCACTGGCATTTAACTTAGTTTCGCTACGTATCTCGTCTCTTATCTGTTGTACCACATCATCCGGTGACTGGTTGTGACTTTGGGCATAATTAGTTATGTCCAGAAATGCTTCGTCGAGACTCATTGCACTGAAGTTTGGGTCGTATCGTGCGAAAATAGTCCTAATTTGTTGTGATACAGCCGTATACTTTTCAAAGTTTGGTTTTACAATTATGATTTGTGGACAGAGTGCCTCCGCGAAATATCCAGGCATTGCACTTCTCACACCAAATTTTCTTGCTGTGTAGTTTGCTGTACACAACATTGCTGAATCTCCTACACCCATTGGTTTTTCAACCAACGTTGGATCATCTCTTTCTTCGACGGATGCATAATATGCATCCATATCCACGCAAACGATATACTTGCTAAGATCACGCTCCTCTTCCATTTTGTTGATACAGAGTTCAACACGTGATTTCGCGAAGGTCAAATCTTGTGCCTGAAGGCGTTCAAAGACCCGGCGCTGATCCTCGATCTTTTCTTGCAGTTCGGCATCTTTTTTGGCTTTTAATTGGCCAAATGGTGAGCTTTCTTCCAACCTCTTTAAAATTTTATTTACCTTTACCTGATCAACACCGTCAAACCCAGCTTTATGGGTTACTAGTTCATTACGTTTTTCTTCAGGCCAAGGTTTTATGGTTTCCTGGGACGCGTCATTTTCACTATTACTGTTAACTGTGCAAGTTTCCGTTTTATCATCGTTGTCATTGACGAAAAGGAAACCAAAGACATCTTCTTCTTCCCTGAGATCGAAGCCAAAGTTTTCGTCGCTTTCTTCATTATCCATTATGTAAGCTGACCTAACTCATTTACAGAGAAGTTTGGTCGAATTTATATATTTGTATTCGATGTAAGGAAACGCCTTCTATACAAGTGAAAGAAAAGTATTTTTGATTAATCCAGGAACCTTCCTGAATTTTTTTGTTTGTAAACACCTCCCGTGTTAATAGAAAGTGCAATTAGTTGTATGAATAAATAGATCTCAAAGTTATTGAGAGAATTATAGCGCGTTTTACTGTAGTGTTTGAATTCATCAAAATATACGTTTCACGTGATTCATGTCTTTTTTCTTTTTTTGGTTATTAGTTTGGGTGGAAAAGTATTCTAGAAAATATTTCTCTCGTTTTTGTAAACGATAAAGCAAAATACATAATTCAAATAAAAATAACCGAAAAAAATATATACTTATTAATAAAAAAAATCATTTTATGATTTTTGATTTTTTAAAAAATTCGGAGCTTTTAAACACATAATACAGTATAAGCTGCTATAACATTTCATATTTGAACAAGTTTTTAAGAATAATTTTTTTAAATATTTTAATATATAAAAGATAGAAAGAAAGAAAGGAAAGAAAGAAGAAAGATGATTGATATTAAAGTCTGTGATTGAATAGTTCAGACTATAGTCTGAGGTTTTGGTTCAGTTTGAAGATTAAGATCGAGTCGAATTGAACTGATTTTTAAATAATTAATCTAATTTAATATATAATGTTATATGTTAATTATTGATCATTTTAACTAAAATTACATTTGTTTTTCATTATTGTTTGTATTGCAAATATGTTTGATGATATTTCTGATAACAATATTTCAGATGTTTCTTCAGTTTCCTTAGCTGAAGAAGAAACTAACATAACATAAACTCGCAATTCAGACATGTGAGAATTTTTTTAAAGTTCTAAATGAGAAAAATTGATTAATTAAAAATTATAAATACACTTTATGTGCTAAATTTTATTCTTCTGGCAATCCAACAATAATACTTTGAAATTATTTAACTAAAAAACATTTATTACATTATAAAAATCTGAAAATTATCAAATTAAGTCAACTCTTTATATATGCATTCCTCTTGGGAGCATGCATATATAAAGGATGTGCATTTATAGATAAGTATACATTTTATGATACAGAAATACTAAAAATTATGAAAATATTAGTTTATTTAATTTTTATTAATATTTATTATAATTCATGATCCTTTATTTTAAAATAATTATCAATTAAAATACTAATATAAGGTAATATGTGTTTGTTTTCATCTAATAAATTTTTCAATTGTATTCATTAATTTTATACATTTATTTATATCCTCTTATTAAAGTAAAAATATGTATAGTTTTTAAGCTTTTTAATGCTATCTTAATACCAATAATTACCATCTTAGTGCTATTATCCATTTAGTATTTATATCGGATTATTCTTAAAATTTTCTATAAGCTCTGTGATGATTTGATCATCTTCAGAAATTTTGTATATAATATTCTCTTCAGAAATGTTAAAAAATTCTTCTACTTTCATTGAATTAGGAAAATTGAGCATTTCAAGTATTTTAATATTTTATCAAGTATCAAATCATCAGTTTCAATATCATCTAAAAGTTTAGTACTAGAAAGAATTTCAGTATAATATCAATAGTTGCAAATTGTTTCAGTAGTAACTTTATTTTAGCATTTGATGATAAATTAGATCGCTTATATGACATTTATTTTTAGGTCTTATATAATAGCCTCAATCTGTTTTAATATCTAGCTAAAATAAAAAAAATAAATTAATTTTTAAATAGAAAATTAAGAATAATATTACATATATACTTATCTAATATATCTAATATAATAATAACAATAGTATTTTTTAAAAGATATAATAATTTCAGCATCTATTGATGAATTATCAAAATTGTATTTGAAGGTAAAAAATAAATATTAACATATAAAAGAGATAAATTCTTCAACTTATGATTTGTATAATTATCAGAAAGTATCAAAACCTATTAATTTCTATGTTTTTGTGTAACTTGATGATTAAATCTCTTAAAAAGAGTTGTAAACATTTATGCTTTAGTACAGTGATATGCTTTTGGAAAATTAGAAACACTATTATAGGTACCTTTGAAAGGTTTGAAAGCATAATTTTCTAAAAAAATCATTTGACTTGAAAGCTTTTAATCAAAATTTTATACTATTAGAAGTATAAATTACATCACTGCTTTAATATTATTTCAATACATCATTAGCAAATTTTGAATTTTAATGTTTTTAAAACATCACAGTTTTGCATATTTTCCAATGATTAAAGAAATAATTTGTAAGATCCATTGGTATTAGCATATAAAGTTACAGAAAAACATTCTTATTTTTTTATGTCTAGAAAGACATTTTGTAGCTAATGTTTAATCTGGTTCTAATCTGTAAAAAAATTGAATTAATATATAGGAACTTGTACAGTAAAAGCTAGAATTGATTTTGAGAAATTGCAATTTAAATTACATGATCAAACTAGCAATTATTTCAGAAAAATAAAAATAGCCTTAATAACTTAAATAAAATTTTGCCAATAATTATTTATAAATATTAATTATTTTTAATATATTTATTTTATTTATATTGTGAAATATGTAAATATATTGACTTAATAAAATTTTAATAAAAATTTAATTATTTGAAATTATTTTTTTACTAATATTTTATAAATAAAAAATCATTATTTAAAAAGATTAGACTAGTAGTTATGTGATTATCAAAAATCTCAATTTTGGATTTTTAGCCAAACTCTAACATTTGCTGTGTAAGTAGGGTTTCACAATTCAATTTGATATTTGAATATTTGATTTGATTTGATCAAATTCAAATCAAGTATTCAAATATTTGATTTGATTTGAATCAA